TTATAGCTCTAAGCCCCAGTCCTCCCTCCTAAACCCCTTGGTTCAGAACCTTCCTGCATCTTCTTTGACCTCATTTAGAATTTCTCTCCCATCTCTTTCCCAGTGACTTCATTCTAGCACCAACAGCTAGACCAGTGTGTAGGTGTTGTTTCAAAGCCGGTGGCAAGGTTGCTTTAGGGCTCTCTGCTTCAGCTACCAACCACCTCACACGGACAGTCGGAATTTGATTTCTCTACATTGCTTCGGAAACTCTGGTCTGTTAGTGCTGCCATGCCCAACTGTTTCTTCTTTCGTCCTAGAGCTGTGCTCCTTTGGGAAGGAAAATTCAGTCAGGAAAGGATACAGAGCTGGTGAGAGAGATTTTTTACAGTCCCAGTCGTGGTTTGGGTCTGAGGATTCCTGAATCTGGGCCAGGAGCCCGTGTTCTCCCTCTCCCAGCCTGCTCACTTCATACAAAACCCAGAGTGCCTCCGAAGGCCCAGGGACATCCTTAGTCTGTGGTGTAGTCAGAACTCGGCGCTCCCTCTGTTTGACTCACACCCCTGTCCACATTCGCCACTTCTGCTGTCTCTTTGCCTCTGCGTCCCAGCAGGGAGGAGCCCCGATGCCGCAGTGCCTGCAACCCTTTCCCAAAGGCCCTGCGCACGGCTGAAGAAGAGAAATAGAAAAGCAAGGGGTCCAGACTGGCGTTGAGGGAACTCAATACCACGGCTTCTGCCCGCCACTTGGGGCTCACCTTCGTGTGGAACCCCACCAGGTGGGATACGTTGTATGGCCCAAAGCACACCAGGAAATTAAGGAGGGTCACCACAGCCAGCCCCACGGCTCGGCGCCGCCTCTGGGCCCCCACGTGGGGCTGGGTGAGCATGACCCACACAAAGCGCCAGTAGCAGAAGATGGTGACCGCCATGGGGATGAGGAAGAGGACAAGGAACAGCTCCAGCCGCACGGGAATCACCACCTCCAGCTGCTCTGCCGTGAAGTTCTCATAGCACATTATGCTACTCCCGTTTGTGAGCCTCTGGGTTGAGTTTAAGTACTGGGTGATGATCACTATGGTGCAATGACCAAAGGACAGGATCCAGGAGACCAGAGCAGCAATCACTCCATACACAGGCCGGCGGGACAGCTTGTACCGCACGGGGAAAGCCACTCCCAGGTAGCGCTCGATGCTGATGGCCGCCAGGAGCCACACGCTGCAGTAGATGCTACTGTAGAAGCCAAAACCCGTGACAGCACAGAGTAGCTCAGGCAGGTGCCAGAGGAAGTCAGACGCGGCCTCCACCATCTTGAAAGGCAGCAGCAGAAGCAGCAGGAGGTCCGCCAGCGTCAGGCTGAGCAGGAGGATGTGGATGGGCGCGGGGTGCGGCTGGCGGACGCGCCCCACAAAGGCCCGCAGCGCCAGGAGGTTGGCAGGGAGACCCGTGAGAAAGATCATGATGTAGGCTGTGAGGATCAAGGAGTTTTCCAAGGTGGGCATGACTGCTCTGGAAGAGGATGAAAAAGGGCAGTGTCAGGAGGACCACCTCACAGCCTGCAGACCCTGGTCGGGCTCAGTCTGTGGACATCCTCCCAGGCACTCTCCCTTTCCCAGGCCAGGGCTTTCTGCTCCCACCACTGCACACACCACCTGCCAGAACTGCTCAGAGCAATTGTTGACTTTGCCTGGGGCCGGATATTAAGCAGTAGCTATTATGTTTGCCATCCGTGCGTCTCTGGGGGAGGCCAACCCTTGGCTTCCCAAGGGAATTCCCCTCCGGTTTTCCTAGCCTTTCTCCTTCTCTTGTCACAGATACAGGAAGTTAGTATTAATCAGTTTCCGGCTTTCCTTAAGGCCTTTCCTCAGCCAGAGACCTGCAGAGAGAAAAGGCAAACCTTGCTACAGCAAGGAGGGAGCTGGACAATGTCTCTCAGGAGAGCTCGGGCTGTGAAAACCCAGGCCCCGCGACCCAGTGCTCCTTCCTTCTCAGGACCCTGCCACACGCCCAGGAAGCAGGTGCCCAGCCCCCAATCCATCTCCCTACCTCTTTTCCTTCTCCTTTTTGCAGAACACAAATTCTCCTCCACCTTTCCCTCCCCTGTCCAATTCTGGGACTATACTGAAAAGGACTATACTGAAAAGGGGAAATAGGGAGGGGCCTCGGGGAGGAAGGGTGAGCCAGCGCTGTCCTCTGGGGCTTGCCCCTCCAAAGACTTTAGAGGATATTCAGAAAAGCACATGGGCAGTAACTGGCTCAGGAGCTGGGTGTTTCGACCATAAACAGAGGAACTCTTCTTAATGAGGTAACGGTTTCTGTTTGGTTTGTAGCGCTCACTACCCACACACAGTCTGGGCCCTCCGTCCTCTCTCCCGTCTTAGGGCCTGGCCCGCGATTCCTTTCCCCCCCCACCGGCTCCCATTTCTGGATGTGATCCTTGCATCCAGTTTCCGACAGATTTCATCCAGCGCCAGCCCCACCCCTGTCCCCCAGCCCCAACCCATTTCCCTCCAGTTCCGATCCCGGCATCGCTTCCCAGAGTGCAAGTACTAAGCCAGCTGCCTTGTCTTGCCTTTGTTTCCGGATAGAGGGCTTCTTGGGATTAGTCCTGAAGGAAAGTCTGAAAGCTTGTGGAAAAGAGGAACAGAGCTTTAGCCGCTGCGACCGCCCATTTCACACAGGAAAAAATTGTAAGGAACCTGGCTGGTAGAAAGCTTTTATACCAGCACTAGTCATGTGACCAGAGAGGAGAAGATCAGTAATCGAGCGCTGTCTCCTCTCGAACCCAGTGGAAAGGGTGCCGGCATCTTTGTTCTCCCCGCCCCCACCCCACCAAGAGATCCCCACTCTGATTTCCAAACTCAGATTTTCTGTCCTTAGTTTCTGAATTTTTTTTTCAATCCCAAACATTTTTTTCCCCCATTTCCCAAGTCAGATTATCTCATCTTCTTCTCTTTTCTAGGTGATTTCTTCTGTAATCCTACTCAATCTCAGAAAAGAGGTTTTATGCTTCCTTTTATTCTTCAATTTTCCTCTTTCTGTATAGTTTCCTGCCCTCTGCCCCCAACAGATGTCTTTTGCCCTCCCGGTCGAAACAGATTGCTTTCTCCTAGCCTATGTCTTGTTGGGGTGGAAATAGCGTGGGATTCAGAGTCATGCAGATGTGGGCTCAAATACAAATCCCTCCCTTGTGACCTTGAGGCAGATCAATTTTCTGAACTTTAGTTTCTTCCTCAGTCAAGTGAGTATGGGAATACTTACATCCCAAGACTTCTGTGAGGAGTCCCTGAGATAGCGTATATAAAGCATACAAGCCAGTGCTCCACACGTAATGGATGCGCATAAGTAGAAGCGGTCCCTCCACCCAAGCCTGCTGGACAGCTTCGTAGAGAGCGAGCCACCTGGTAGAAGAGGCTTAGGGCACAGGAATGCCATCTAACTTCGGAAAGCGGCAGGGATTCGGGAGAGCTGGGCCCAACCTCCTAGCCACCCTTGTTCTTTTCTCGCTATTTCTCCCTCTCTGACTTTTGAAACACACACCTGAGGAAACAAAGATACATTCTAGCGGAGGGAGATAAGTAATAACAAGCAAATAGGAACGGAGGAGTGATTGCACAGTGACAGACGTTATGAAGGAAATGAAGCAGAGTGATGACGGGGAGAGTGGCTGTGGTGTGCCGGGGGTCAGAGAGGTACTGCTGAGCTGAACTGACATCTGAGAGGTTGAGCTGAATTTCGTGAAGGGACTGTGTCAGGTCCTGGAAGAAGAGTGGTCTGGGTGGAGGAAGCAGCGAGTGCCAGGCAGCAAGCACCTTTGCACGTGGGGGGAACAGAAATGCCAGTGTGATTGGAGCGTGGTGGGCCAGGGTGAGACCACGCAGGGCCCTCCTGATGACAGAAAGGAGCTGGGGTTCCATTCATAAGCTGCGTGAAGTCACTGACGGGCCGTAAGAGGAGAGGGACGGTTGAGAGTTGAGAAGCTCACGCCAGCTCTGTGTGAAGCATGGTCTTCAGGGGAATGAAGTTGGAAGCAGAGCGATCAAATAGACGTTCACTGCAGTCATCTAGGGACGGTTGATGACGGCATGGATTCAGGAGAATGTAGCAGTGGAAATAGAGAGGATCCGTTGCGATTTGGGGTACATAACTTTAAATAAATAACAGTAAATGAAGAACTTCAGAATGCCAGAGAGAATGGAACTCTCCTGGAGAATTAGAGGGAAGATGATTCTAGACCAGTACATCCAAATGGACTTTAGATTTTGTTGCTCCCTTATGCCGGTGCAGTTCAGCCTACTTGCATGTGCGTATTATGCGTTTTGAGCCCCTGGAGTGGCCTTATGGTAGTATGAAGGTGACAGTTCATGCCCTTCCCCACTTGCATTCTCTTGTTTTAGCCACCACTTGTCCAGGCTTTCTCTGTCATCCCAATAGTGGTATCCTCCACCTCTGCAGCCATCTCCAGTGCAGGTGCAGTACTGAAGAAGAGAAATAAGGAACAGGTCAGTACCAGCATCTTAGGAGTACCCTTCAGACCCTGTCTCTGTTGGCCTCTGTAGTGGGCATCATGGGTTTTTGCCATGCACTGCTGGTAACCATACCCCAACCTTCCTCTGCAGAGACCCCTCCCTCCTTCACTCTCTGTCCACCTGCTTACCGTTATCAGACTGGACTCTTGGCCAATAGTATTATACCAGCTGTGGTGGTGGAATAATTGTCCCTCCAAGAGATAACCACATCCTAATCCCTGGAGCCTGCGAATGTTACATTACATGGCAAAAAATTTTAAAAAAAAGGATTTTACAGGTGTGATTAAGAGAATTATGATAGGGCTTCCCTGGTGGCGCAGTGGTTGAGAGTCCGCCTGCCGATGCAGGGGACACGGGTTCGTGTCCCGGTACGGGAAGATCCCACGTGCCGCGGAGTGCTTGGGCCCGTGAGCCATGGCCGCTGAGCCTGCGCGTCCGGAGCCTGTGCTCCGCAACGGGAGAGGCCACGACAGTGAGAGGCCCGCGTACCCGCAAAAAACAAACAAACAAAAAAGTATTATGATAGAGAGATTATCCTAGATTACCTAGGTGGGTCTTAAACATCACAAATGTTCTTATAAGAAGGAGGCACAAGGAGATTTCAGACAGAAGAGGAGAAGGCAGTGTGATCACAGAGGTAGAGATTGGAGCAATGTGGCCATAAGCCAAGGAATGTCAGCAGCCCCCAGGAGCTGGAAGGGGCAGAGAATGTGTTTTCGTCAGCCCAGTGATAACTCGTTTTGGACTTTTAGCCTCCAGAACTGTGAGAGAATGCACTTCTGTTAAGCCACCCAGTTTGTGACAATCTGTTACAGCAGACATAGGAAACCAGCCAACATTTATTGCCCATTCAAATGATACTATGTACCAGGCACTGCACTAAGAGTTTTGCAAAGACGAACTCATTTAATCTTTCAACGCTTCTGTGAGGTTGGCATACTCATCCCCATTTTACAGATGAGAAAACGGAGATATAAAGAGGTTAAGTAATTTGCCTGAAGTCACACAGCTGGTAAATAGAAGAGCTGAATTCTAAACTTGGGACCCAGGCAGTCTGGCCCTGGGGTCCACAGTGGTCACCACTGCGCTGTACTCCACACTGTACTGGGAGGGTCCAGGTTAGAACCAGTTTCCCTGGCATCCCCCAGGAGTCCTGGAAATCCCACACAGGACACAAGGGCGCAGGCAAGGGTGTAAGGTCATGTCATCTGCGTCCCACAAGGAATGTCTGCACGGTCTCCAGCCTTCCTGCCGGTGGCCCTCGCTCTTTCCCTGAAACCATGAAGGAATGACCTTCATCCCTAGTTTCCTAGGATCCACAGGCATCTCTCAGCCTTTCAGATGTTCTCGTTCCTGCTGTAACCTCAGATCCCAGATGCTGTGATCTTACATTGGTCCCTCCCTGTCTCTAAATATTTTGGATACACAGGGAATAGAGGGGAGACACCGTTTACTGTTGCTCTCTACTAAATTTGCTGTGTCATTTAGCATTTATGAGCAAGAATGTTTATAAGGTCCTGGATATAAATTGTGAAATAGAAATAAGAACTTGGGAGAAGGCTGTTCCTTTATTCCTGGCATCTTGAAGAGGTTGTTTGACCTTTTCTTTCCTGCCTGATCCCTCTTCTCCACTGCTGTCCCTGCAGAGCTGACCTTCAGAGCAAGAATTGGATTAAAAAGTCCCCCACTTCCCGTCCCCTTGGCTACCCACAGCTTCCAGCCCAGACCACTGGGTAGCTTTCATGGGCTCACGCTACCCTTGGAAAAGAGCAGAAGGCCTCTGGCTGTCACCTTGGATTGCCTTTCAGTGTTGACCCTGAGTCAAAAAGGAGAGGCAGGAGAGTCTTTGGAAGTAGAAGTGGGACAGGTCCTCTTAGTAAAGCTAGAAGTGCTTGCAGTCAGGTGCTGGCTGATCCTGCAAAAGCTGTGCCAGCTCAGGGCAAAACTGAATGCTCTGTGTTCCTCTTCTCAGCCCAACCTTCCCTCTGCTTTCTTCCCTTAACCTGCTTCTGTCACATATGCAAGTCATCTTCCGCTAGTAGTTGTGGCATCACTGGAGTTTACCAGGGTAACTGCAGTTTACAGAATCTTAGGTAACTTAAGTTAGACTGCTGATTCTCAAGAAGGGTGGGGAGAGTAGCAGGAACCCTTGGGGGCAGGCAGGGGAAATGATAGGACGTGTGGCATTTCCCAGGAGAGGGGAAAGCCCTGGTTTTCTTAATGCAGTCTATAGAAAGTACAGTTTGTGTTGATCAAAAGTGGGAGTTGGTTGAAAATAGATTGAGAAACAGTGAAGTAGTTGATATAATACTTTACTACTGGCTCTCAGAAAAGTTTAGATGAACCAAGATCCTCTGCCAGCTCCTTCCATCGTTAGAAGAATTCAGGTCCCATAGTGAGCAGTGAATACTTATCAAGAGAAGGTAGGATGGGACCATGCAAATGAAGTCTTCTTAGTTTAGCAGGTGTCTTCAGGGTCCTCCTTTTTTTTTTTTTTGCCTTGGGCCCTTGTGATACCACGGCCCGAAGCCACAGTGAATTAGCACCTGAGAGTCCCCTTCTGTCTCAAGAAGTCTTTGCCACCGTGCATAAAGCTAAAAAGCTTGTATCTTAGTTGAGGACTGTCAAATGTGCCCAGAATGCCAAATAACAGAGACTTAAACACATAGAGCTTTCTTTTTCTCATGTCACACGAAGGAAATAGGGAATCCAAGGCTGGTGCAGCTGCTCAGGAGCAACCCTCAAAAACACACGCTCCTTCTAGCTTTTCTGTTCCGCCATCCCTAGATTTTGGCTTTCTGCTTCATGATCTTAAGAAGCGTCTATATTCTGAGCAGGAAAACAAGGCGGGGGACGGGACAGAGAGCAAAAGACACACGAGAGCCAGATCTATCCCTTTTAAAACTTGTTTTTAAATAGACTTTATTTTGTACAGTAGTTTTAGGTTCACAGCAAAATTGAGCAGAAGGTACAGAGATAAACCCCACACCCCACACACGCATAGTTTCCCCCATTGTCGACATTCCCCATCAGAGTGGTACATTTGTTACAGTTAATGAACCCGCACATCATTATCACCCAATCTACCCCTTTTTGAATCAGGAAAATTATAGCTTTTCTAGAAGCCCTACCCAGCCAATTTCTGCCTAGTTCTCATTGGCTAACACTGTATCTCATGACAACTCCTGGCTACAAGGGCATCTGGGGAGAGGATTACTAACTGAGCACTTTCCCAATCTGACAAAATTGGGTTAGGAAGAAGGAGCGAGTACCAAAATTATATAAATCTGGAATAGCAAATATGGAGAGGAAGAATACTTCTAAGACTATAATATCTATCATGGCCATAAAAAGGTGTGGAATTTTAGGGAGGGTTTTTAGAAATTGTTTTGATTGAAGGGTAACATGTACACAATAAAGAGTACCAATCTTGGGGGTAAGCTGATGACTTTTAACATATATATACATTTGTGTGACCACTTGACTGGATGAAGACAGAGACCATTTTCAGCACCTTTATAAGTCCCCTCATGCCCACCTCAGTTAGCAACCCTCCCACCCCCGAGATACCCACTATTCCAGCTTCTACCACTTAGAGACGGTTATTAACCGTCATAAATGTTGGAAGGGAAACATGATGGATGGAGAAGAGCAAAAGGGAAGAATAAGGCCAAACAAATGGCTGCTTTTGTGATATTGCTGCTCTCCTTTGCCTCCTAAATTATTCTAATTCCATTTTGAAAATGGCATTTTAAATGTCATCAGAAAAAGTCATCAAAAACTGAAGACCGAAATTTTAGTTTTCTGTAAAGTTCATATATGCTGAAACTTCCATCAGTTAGGACTGGATTCTATTGCACATAATGTAACAACCCTAGGTAATTAATAGTGGTGTAAATAAGATAGAATTATAGTTCTCTGTCACATAAAAGCAGCCTGAAGGTATGTCGTCGAGGATTGTGCTTGGCAGCCCCAGGAATACTTCGGAGCTCTCTAGGCCTCTGCTCTTCCAGTCCTAGGTGGCCTTCGTCCTCGTGGTCAAATGTGCAACCTGGAACTCCAGCCATCACATCTATGTTCCTGGCAACAGAATTGAGGAAGGGAAGAAGCGTTCACTCCTTCTCAATTTAACAGACTTCTTAGAAGTTCCACACAACACTTCTGCTAATAACTCACTGACAGGAACTTAAGTCACAGGACCACACCTACCTGTAAAGAGGTCTGGGAAAGTGGTCTTTTAGCTGCGTGCAATGTGCTGTTAAAAATCGGACTTTTTAATAAGCGGAAAAACGGGTAGTCTCTTCCAAATTGCACTTCTGCAACTTTTGCAGGTGAGCCTCCTCTTCCCGCAGTTCTGCCACCTTTGCATTGCATCCCCGGGGGCCTGTTGTGTGCCCAAGGAAGAACCCATCTCAACCTATACCAGATCTGGCCTTCTCAGGGAAAACAACCTCAGCAGATGGGAAAGAATGTCCTACACAGAGCATTGCAACCAGCCACACTATTGTCAGGTTCTACGGCCCCTGGAGTCCCTCCTAGGATTGGATGAATATAATTCAAACCATGTTCTGATAGCAGCAGTCAGTTTTGTCTTAGGGACACAAGGTTAGATGTAAATAGTCTGTTAGCACACCAGCCAGCTGTCACTGGGCCAAATTTAGATTACTTTTATTTGTATATTTTTTGACACAGGTGTCATCTGTTTCTCGGTCAGATAACCTAAGCACAGCACTGTAGGATAGGAGCCAGGAGCATGGCCACTGAAGCAGCAGCCATCCCACATGGTTGGTGGAGGGACAGCCCCAGTTGTCCAGGAAAGCCACGCTGCTGTATCCTCAGTGCCCAGTGCAGCTGAGAACCGTGGGCCACAGAGTATGCTGCTGTGGAAGCAGAGGTGAGACTAGGTAAACGCGAATGCAGACGCGTCTGGACTGGGCCGTTGAAGGGGCGGAAGTGGCAGGTCCTGGCAGCATTTGGCTAAGGACATGGATGAGGCTGCCAGGCCGGTCATAGATGTAGAGAATTGTGGAATCAAGTGAGGCTCTCTGAGAATGTTCTGCTTGAGTTGAGAAAAACTAGGATAAAGCACCTCCCTGATATTATGTGCCTTTTCCCCACCCTTGACTGACTGAGCTTCTACCATTTGCTTCTTTGAAACATCTGTCAGTGCTTCCTTGCCCTCTCCCTCATACGAGGGTTAGTGACGTCCTCGATGCAGTAAAGAGTCTACTTGTCAGAAATCCCATCCTGTGTCTCAGGGAGGGGCTGACTACTCAATTGCCCTGATTCCTCTCCTTGTTCTGGGAGAGACAGCAGTGAGTACTGGCTTGAAGTGAAGCCTGAGTTCCCTGCCCAGGAATTGGACCTGGGTAGCCTGGATGAAAACCAGGAATCCTAGCCGCTAGAGCACCCGGGACGAGAGGCTAGAAGCAAGGTTCCCCTGGCTCTTGCCCCGTTTGAAAAATGAATTTCTCAAAGAGACAAAAACTGTAAAATCCGGTACCAAGTTTATTATTGAAGACACAGCACAACAGGTGGGAGAGCACACAGAGAAACAGTTTATTTAAGACAGAAGCAAGGCACAAATACACACCTGGAGAGAAAGAGTATGGGCGTCCTCCCTAATGAGAAGGAGTGCAGTAAAGAGGCGGTTAAATCATTTACATAGCGGCAGTCCTTCCGCGTCATTGTTTCCCTTTGGCCAATTATCTCGTTTCTTTTCCACACCTGACCTGCCCTAGGACCCACCCAATACGCGTGCGCGTCTTTTTGCCAAGATGGATTCCAGCACAGAGGCCTGTGGGAGGTTTGACAACACTTATTATGGGGTGGTGCCCCCTCCCTTTTTGACCCCCGAGGAGCCTTCCTGTGTATGTGCAGCTGGGGAGGTTTCCCTGACCTCAGGAGTGATAGATGTGGCCGTCTTAATCTCTTTACTCAGCAGGGCTCAGCTCCTGCCACTAACTTTGCCCTTGGAGTGTCCAGGGAAAGCAAAGCTCCGATTTACCCTGCTTGACAAGCTCCAGCTGCTCTGCCCAGGGGCCCATCTGCCTCCTACCTCATCCTGACCCCTCAGACTTGCCGCTTCTACCTTTCCTGGACAAGAAGTGTTCCTACAAGGATTTGGAAGTTTCAAAAGTGCCCTCCTGCCACACGAAGGTAAGGGGATAACAAACATGACTGTCTGCAAGTCGTACCAGTGTCAACTTCTGTCTAACTCTCCCAGATGCCTCTTGGGCTCTCTCTAGAAGGGTGAACTTGGTTGGAGGGAAAAGAGGAGTTTGCTGGCCCTCTTCTCAGTAAGACTGTTCCAAGTAGTGCTCTTTGGCATTTTAGGATTACAGCCTGTGCAGACGGAGTGTCTCTTGTCCTGAGGTCCCGGCCGGGATCTCAAGGCTGGCCCTGCCGGCTGAGAGTGTTTTAGCCGCTGCACGCGCCTGCAGCATGTAGCTGAAGACTGGGGTCAGCCCTGCTTGAACCACAGGGAGTGAGAGTGGGAAAAGGCAAGTTCCCAAAGCACCAAAGGAAGGAGTTCTATGTCAGGACGTGCTACGCTCAGGTCCTGTGCAACCCCCAGTCTGCACTGTGATGTCCCCCCTTCTCGCTCTCTCTAGAATGTCTAACGGAATACTCATAACTGGCAATGACATCGTAACAGCTCACCTTGTGTCTGCTCATTTCTTTGTTTACTTAAACTCACAAACCCTGGTCCTTTCAATTATACCAGGAAACTTGTGTTTCTTGCCGCTGGTTGCCACATACCAGTGTGTCTCAACATATCTTTTGAGAAATGATGAGTTAAAGGACCAGATGAGGAGAAAGACATACCGGCCTGGCTGGGGATGGACCACTCTGCCTGGGGCTCCAGTGTGGCCTGGCAGGTTGTTGCTCAGAGTGGCACCTTCCACTTACAGAAGTCTCAGTGTTTATCTGGTGTGTGCTCTGCACCCCACTTCCCCGAACACTAACAGCGATCGGGGTGCTTCCCAAAGTGCTCCCAGGGCAAGTCGCCAGGCTTCTGGGAGGGGGTGTAGGTGTGTAAGCACCTTGCTGGCTGTTCTCTTCTAGGGCCACAGAGTTTTCCCATCCGCAGGAGTCACGGGTCAGAGAGGAAGAGCACTTGGTGAGCTCTTCCGCGTCTCTGCCCCTGTGAACTGATCTCTCAGAATCCAAGTTCTGACTGTGCTCCCAGGCCTCTCTTTACATTCACAATTCACATAACCCAGATTTTCTTCCTAGGATTCTTTCAGGTCATTTCTGTTTACTGTGTCTGACCCCTTCCTTCTGTTCTTTCTTCACCTCCCTTCCTCTCCACCCCAACCCAGAGCTACGTTGAATTCACCAAGTTCCTGTTCCTTTCCCAGCATGATCCAGTCAAAGCAGGTTAATCTCTCCAGTTTTGCATCACACGGCATTCTTTGGCCAGCAGGGTAGATTTCCTAGAAGTTGGGGTGCTGGCTTTCAAGTCCAGGGGCTCCAGCCAGCCCAGAAAGGCGTCCTGAGTCGAGGCAGGTCCACTAAGCCCACTGCTGTCTGGAGAATGAGACTCTGCACTTGCTCTCACACCTCCTCTCTTTCCCAGGTTCTATGCCTGGTTTCTGTGGCACCTCCTCCCTTCTCTCCAGTATCCTCTTCCTGAACGTCATGCGCCCCGGACAGCTGTAGCCTCCCCAGATGCTCCCACAAGTCTCTTGGATCAGAAAACTGAGGGCAAGGTGACAACCAGATCATGCGTTTCACCTCTCCGTGAATGAAAGGGGCCGGAGCACCAAACAAGACAGACATCGTTCTTGCCTTCATGGAATTTACATTCCAGCTGGTGGGGATAGGGGGAGAACACAACAGTATCTACATGAATACAGAGGATATATATATATATATATATTGTGTGGCACATTCTATGAAGGAAATAAAATCGGATGGTACAATAGAGTTACGGTGTGCGTGCGGGGGGTCAGAGTGCTTCAACTGAATGGTGGGGAAGTGTTCCCTGAAGGGGTGGCACTTGAGCAGAGACTTGAAGGAACCCTGCTGGGGCTATGGAAGAGCTGAGGGAGGACAAGACAGTTTGTGCAAAGACCTTGAGGCAACACAGAGCCCAGTGTGTTGGAGGAACTGAAAGGAGGCCAGTGTGGTTGGGGCAGAATGCCCCTGCAGGGGACTGATGGGAAACGAGGTCGGAGACGCGACAGCGGGGAGGGAAGGCTCATCACGTAGTGCAAGGGGAGGATTTGGGTTTCATCCCCAAAGTTATAGGAACCCGTGGAAGGGCTTTCCGCAGAGAAATGAAATGATCTGATGTGTGGTTTTTGAAGGCCCCTCTGGTTACCTATTGGAGTACAAGAGTGTCTTGCTCTGCTGTCTGTCAGGGCTTTGATTGTCCCCAGGCACTGGGGAGGCCTGACGATGTAGGGACCCCCACGGGGACCTGGCGTCTGTCATTCACCCCTCCATCTCTCTCTGTGTCCCCGCTTCACTGGCCTGCTGCACAGGCCCACTTTCCAGACTAGTAGGAACATAGAGGAGACACTGTTCTTTGTGTCTCTTGACTAGCTTTACTTGCATCATTTTACTGTTATTATTTTCTACAGATGTTTGTGACATTCTGACTTTAAGTGAATGACACAGACTCATGGGCAAGGAAACAGCGGGAAGGAGGAGAGTGGCTTTTCTCCTTGAGTCTTTTCTTGCCACCCTTGCTGACTATGAATATTACTGAGGAATCTCATTCTGGAGCAGAAGTCAAGCCACAGGTGGTTCCCAGGATCCTTAGACCCCTGCTGTTACCTCCTTTCCACCCATGGTTGCCTGGGGACGGTCTGTTCTGCTCCTGTCCAGGTGTTAAGGCTGGATAAGCAGGGAGAGAAGGACCAAGCCGGGGCGTCGCTGGCCTCACCTCCTCCCCCTTTTACAACCCTCTAGGCTGATATGGAATGAGAAACGCTACACTGCATGTCACACCCCAACCCTGTCCAGTGCTTTCCTGAGGTCAACAGAGGCTTGTGCTGAAAGCACGCCCTACTCTGGCCTGCAGAGTATTAAGAGACTTTTCTATAGGCCAACGTTTGTTTCCCAGGCCTGGCTGACGCATCCCCTTTAGTCTCTGAGGAACAGAGGGTGGTAGGGGTATTTGGGGAGAGAGGGTATGGCATGCGATGGAGTAACCACTTTGAAAAAGCATATTTGATATAATTTTATATTTCAAAACCAAAAACAGTTGTTTTATGATGTGGACCAGTGAAAGTCAGCTTCTGCTTTATTTTTACTAAAGGTCAAGAGGTACTGAGAAGGCAAGATGGCATCTCAAGCCCAAGTCAATGGAGGGAGCTGTATCCAGGGCTAATTTAGGCAAAGCTCCAAGCTCCTCTCCAGATTCTATCCCAGCTCAGCACCCCCTTCATTGCCATCACCACACATAACCCATAGGAAGATGTATGCAGGAGTGAAACACTCAAGTTTTAGAGTCATCAAGTTATATTCAAATCTCGGTTCCCATCCCATTTCTGGCCATGTGTTCTTTGGCAAGTTACCTAACCTATAGTTAACCCACTAAACCCCTAGTTTCCGGAGTTGAGAGCATGGACTCTGGAGCCAGCTGTGTGGCTTGGAGTCCTGGTTCTGCTACTTGTTAGCTGTGTAACCTTGGGCAGGGTGACTCATCTCCAGGCCTCCCTCAGTTTCCTCGTTTGTGGAATGGGAATAATAACACACCTACCTTGTAGGGTTGCTGTGAGGATTGAAGTGAATGTGTATATGTATGCGTGCATGTATGTGTGTGTGTGTACACGGGTACATTTATGTATAAATGTGTGTATGTAAGTGGGTGCCTGGGGCATAGCAGGCACGTATAGTACTGGCTGTTACTATTATTATTTTATCTTTGTTTAGCATAAGACTAAATTGTATGTGAGAAAAATAAGTCGATTTTTAAAAACTCCATAAGTAAATCATATTGCAGGTGGTATGGGGACACAGAAGTTGTGATACTGCTGTTTGATAACTGAAGTGAAACGCGAGGCTGGACCACAGCGTTCTATCCTCTCCTTCACATCTCACTGCTTCCCGCTGACTTCTTGATCTTTTCCTGCTACTTCTTTTCTTTATTGGATTTTTCTATGGTGTAGCTTATGGAAGACCAGCCTCCTTAGGTCTCTATTGAATTCTTCTAGCCCTCTCATCCTTCCTACTCCTCCACCTGAAGAATTATTCTCATGAGGATTCCAGGGTCCCATAACCACTCTCCCCTCCAAGAGGGGAAGACACCTATTGTATCATAGATACAGCAGTTCTCAAAGTGTGGCCTCTGGGCCGGCAGCATCAGCATCACCTGGGAACTTGCTGGAAATGGACATTCTTGACCCCTCACCCTACACCTGCTGAATCAAAAACTCTGGGGGTAGAGCCTTGCGATTTGTCTTTTAACCAGCCCTTCAGGAGCTTTTGGTGCACGCTAAGGTTTGAGAGCCACTGTCACAGAGGAAGAGTAGGTCCAGTGGCTTTGTGATGTTGTTCAAGTTCACAGTCCTGTTCTGGACACCTGGTGCTCATGTGAAACTGTAAGTCTCAGTTGTGAGCACAGGGACCAGAGGCAGAAGGGGAGGTCGAAAGGGAGCCAGCTGGCCACTCTGAATGCCTTTTAGCCTGGTTCCCTCCTGAACCTTCCAAACGTAGAGCTCAGGGATGTCAGCCAGGCAGTCGGGGAGACAGGCTGGATTCCCATGTGTGCTCTGTCTGGATCAGCTGTGAGGACCTGGGGAGTCGCTTAACCTCTCTGGGCTTCCTTGTGGGTTGTAGCCCTGTGTGAATAGAGCAGGATTGTTTGGGGGAGTAAGTGAGGTAACATTTGCAAAAACACTTCACGAGACTGAAAATAGTCCTCTATTGTAAATTGTAACCAGACAAGTAAACTCCTTCCTGGAGTGATCCTCAACTTTTTTCCAGTGGCCACACGTGGGACGGATCATGCTCACGTGCTGGACAAACTCCCAGAGCATTCCAGCTGCAACTTCTCCCATTCCTCTCTTGCTCAGCAGAGAGAATGTGGACAGCTTGAGTCAGAAGTTCCAAGGAGCAGAAACGATGTCTCTCTGCCTCGTGGCCATGACCTTGTCAGTTTCCTCTGCCTCACGCTAGCCCCGTTCAGCACTGTGCAGTATTCC